TGTATAGGTACAAGGTTGTTTTAACTTTCTAGTTTCTTTCCCATCTAGAGAAGTTCCTTTAGCATTTGTTGCAGAGCTGGTCTGGTGGTGCTGAGTTCTCTTAGCTTTTGCTTGTCTGTAAAGTTTCTTTTTTTTTTTTTAAATTGGGATATAGTTGTTTTACAGGATTGTTTGTTTCTTCTCTACAGTGAAGTGGAGTTTCCTGTGCTATACAACAGGTTCTCATTAGTTATCTATTTTATACATTAGTGTATATATGTTAGTCCCAATCTCCCAATTCATCCCACCTGCCCTTTCCCCTCTTGATGTCCATATGTTTGTTCTCTACCTCTGTGTTTCTGTTTCTGCCTTACAAACTGGTTCATCTGTGACATTTTTGTAGATTCCACAAATATACATTAATTTACAATGTGTGTTTTTCTCCTTCTGACTTACTTCACTCTGTATGACAGTGTCTAGGTCCGTCCACGTCTCTACAGATGACCCAATTTCATTCATTTTTATGGCTGAGTAATATTCCATTGTATATATGTACCACATCTTCTTTATCCATTCATCTGTCAATGAATATTTAGGTTGCTTCCATGACCTGGCTGTTGTAAATAGTGCTGCAGTGAACATATTGGGGTGTGTAAAGCCTTTGATTTCTCCATCAAATCTGAATGAGAGGCTTGCTGGGTAGAGTATTCTTGGTCGTAGGTTCTTCCCTTTCATCACTCTAAATACAGTATATTGTGCTACTTCCTTCTGGCCTGCAGAGTTTCTGCTGAGAAATCAGCTGATAACCTTATGGGAGTTCCCTTGTATGTTATTTGTTGTTTTTCACTTGTTACTTTTAATATTTTTTCTTTGTCTTTAGTATTTGTCAGGTTCATTACTAGGAGTCTTGGCGTGTTCCTCCTTGGGTTTATGTGCCTGGGACTCTTTGTGCTTCCTGGACTTGGATGACTGTGTGAAGTTTTCAGCTATTATCCCCTCAAATATTTTCTCAGGTCCTTTCTCTCTTCTCCTTTTGGGACCCCTATAATGGGAATGTTGGTGCATTTAAAAGATCTCTTAGACTGTCTACATTTCTTTTCATTCTATTTTCTTTATTCTGTTCTGTGGCAATGATTTCCACCATTCTGTCTTTCAGGTCACTTATCTGTTCTTCTGACTCACTTATTGTACTATTGATTCCTTCAAATGTATTTTTCATTTCAGTTATCATATTGTTCATCTCTGTTTGTTCTTAATTCTTCTAGGTCTTTGTGAAACATTTCTTGCATCTTCTTAATCCTTGCCTCTATTCTTTTTCCAAGATCTTGGATCATCTTCACTGTCGTTATTCTGAATTCTTTTTCTAGTAGCTTGGCTATCTCCACTCCACTTAATTTTTCTTCTGGGGTTTCATTTTGTTCCTTCATCTGGGACATATTCCTCTGCCTTCTCGTTTTGACTAAATTTCTGTGAATGCAGTTTCCATCCACAGGCTGCAGGATTGTAGTTCTTGCTTCCGTTGCCTGCCCTCTGGTGGATGAGGCTGTCTAAGAGGCCTGTGCAGGGTTCCTGATGGGAGGGACTGGTTCCCAGTGGTGGGGAGCTGGATCTTGTCCCTCTGGTGGGCAGGGCTGTGCTCAGGGAGACTTTAAGCCACTTGTGTGCTGATGGGAAGGGCTGTGTTCCCGTGCCATTGGTTATTTGGCCTGAGGTGATCCAGCACTGGAGCCTACAGGCTGTTTGGTGGTAATGGTGGCCTTTGGGAGGGCTCATGCCAATGAGTAGTTCCAAGAACTGCTGCTGCTAGTGTCTTTGTCCCCACACTGAGCCACAGACACCCCCTGCCTCCCCAGGAGACCCTCCAATGCTAGCAGGTAGGTCTGACCCAGTCTATTCTGGGGTCACTGCTTTTTTCCTCTGGGTCCTGGTACCCTCAAGACTTTATGCATGCCCTCCAAGAGTGGAGTTCTGTTTTCCCCAGACCTGTGGAAGTCCTGTGATCAACCCCATTGGCCTTCAAAGCCAGATTCTCTGGGGACTCCTTCTCCCATTGCTGGACGCCCAGGCTGGAAAGCCTGACTTGGGGCTCAGAATTTTCACTCCTGTGGAATAACTTCTGTGGTATAATTATTTTCCAGTTTGTGGGTCACCCATCTGGTGGGTATGGGGTTTGATTTTATCACGATTGCGCCCCCTCCTCCCATCTTATTGTGGCTTCTTTGTCTTTGGATGTAGGGTATCATTTTTAGTAGATTCCTGTGTTTTTTTGTTGATGGTTATTCTACAGTAGTGATTTTGGTATTTTTGTAAGAAGGGGGCGAGCTCACATCCTTCCACTCTGCCATCTTGAGCTAATCTGAACTAAGTGGGTTTAGATAGAAAGGAGTGAAAATGTCATTATGTGCAGATGAAATGTTCTCTACCAAGAAATTTTATACACAAGAAGATTAAACCTATTAGAATGAAAAAGATCATGCAACAGATAGCTCTTCACTTGTAAATACTTTGTAATTTTCATTTTGATTTCTTCTCTAACATGTTAATGTATTTTAAAACGTTTTCAGCTTCCATATATATGGATTCTTTCTGCAGTTATCTCTTTGCTATTGATTTTAAATATTATCGATTGTAATCATTGAATATGTTATATATGACGATTTTTTATATGTGAATTTGCCTAGTTTTCCATTATGCCCTATAATAAGTTTAATTTTTATTAATATTTTGTGTGTGTTTGAGGAGAAAATAGCAATCCAAATTTGCTGGGCTCAAAATTCTATATATATCTATTAGAAAGAACTTAATCATTTTACTCATCTTCAATAATTTTATTTATAATCTGCTTGATCAGTTAGTTTCTGGGAGAGGTATGTTAAGCTCCTTTAGGATGTTTTGTGTATTTATTTCTTAAATTTTTATCCATTTTGCTGCATACAGTTCAAAGCAATATAGTCACATAATATTTAATAATTCTAACATTTTCTTTAAAAATTGTTCCATTTTCCAGTATTGAATTTTTTTTTTTTTTTTTTTTTGGCCGTGCCTCATGCATGCAGGATCCTAGCTCCCCAGTCAGGGATTGAACCCGCGCATTGCGCGGAGTCCTAACCACTGGACCGCCAGGGAAGTCCTAAATGTTCCTTTTTGATGCTGTTTGCCTTGAATTCTGTTTTGTCCATTAAAAATATTGTTATGTATTGATCCTCCTGCCCCCACCAGTTTTGTGTGTGTGTGTGTGTGTGTGTGTGTGTAGTGTATCATTTTTTGTAACCTCTGCCTTCAATCTTGTGTTTTCATTCTTTTTTTTTAAGTGCATTTTTTTGTAAGTAATATATAACTGGATTTCTAAAAATGTCAGTCAGAAAATCTTTATTAGTTAATAGATGAGTTCAGCAGTTACTGAGATTGTTGATATGTTTGTATGTATTTCCACCACTCAAAACACTGATTGAGAAAAACCCAATCAAGTAGAAGCTGAGAAAGAAGAGAGAAAATAGTCAAAATAAAACTGAGGTTCAGGGCTTCCCTGGTGGTGCAGTGGTTGAGAGTCCACCTGCTGATGCAGGGGATATGGGTTCGTGCCCCGGTCCAGGAGGATCCCACATGCTGCGGAGCGGCTGGGCCCATGAGCCATGGCCGCTGAGCCTGCGCGTCTGGAGCCTGTGCTCCACAGCGGGAGAGGCCACAGCAGTGAGAGGCCCGCGTACCGCAAAAAAAACCCAAACCCTCCCCCAAAAAAACTGAGGTTCAAAGTAATCCTTTTAATATCAACATTGTAGATATAATTTCATTTTATTTTAGCGTTTTAAGTTGCTGATGAAGTCTTTTTTCTAATCCTCATCCCTTTGTCTTTTCACTCTTTTTGCTTTTGAGATTTTCTTTTTATCCTTAATATCCTAAGGCTTTACTATTAGTTGATGAAGAGTGGGCTGGCTTTGTTTTGTTGTGGTTATTTTTAAATTTTATTTATTTACTTATTTTGGCTGCGCCTCATGCCTTATAGGGTCTTAGGTCCCTGACCAGGGATCGAACTTCAGCCCACAACAGTGAAATCAATGAATCTTAAGCACTGGATCACCAGGGAATTCCTGTTGTGGTTATTTTTTATTGTGCTCTTTCAGTCTGAGGAATCATGTATTTTTATATATTATTCATTAATTATTGATTAGTTATTGCCCTTCCTCCATTCTCTTTATCCTGTAATTCTGAAACCCCTAATAGACCTGTTTTGGATCTAGCTTTCATAATATGCCTTTTCTTTCATTTATCCCATCTGTTTGTGCATCATTCTAGTGGAATCCTCATGTTGTGTTTCTTGTGTACTACTTTGGTCTTAAGCTGTGTTAGTCATTATTCAGCTATTCCACTGAATTTAATTTGGGTTTTGTTGATGGTGATGGTTGTTAATTAATTTCAGCAATCACATTCTTCTTTCCTAAAGACTTTGCTACACACAGGTAACGTGGCATCAGTTTCTGTTTACCACTATGGAATCCTGTCTAATTTTTTCATAGCTAACTTTTTAATTTCTGGTGTATATAAAATGTTCTTTTTTGTTTTCAAGAACAGTGTTACATTTATTAGTATTTTTGTAATGATTCTATGTAATAACATAATTTATTGTGGTGGTTAATAGCATAGACTCTGGAGGCAGAGGGCTGAGGCTCAAAGCCAAGTTCTGCCTCTTTGACAAGCTATTCAAACTCCCTGTATTCCATTATCCTTACTTTGATCATAATACTAATACTTATGTCATAGGATTTTTTGAGGATTAAAGGAGGTAATAAATGTCAAAATACGTGGCATATACCAAGCCCTCAGTAAATATTAGCTGCTATTAGTTGTAGTAGTGGTGGTAGTACTATATTAGTTATCATTATGCAATTGTATGTTTTGTGGAGATTTTCCCATGCTTTTGTAATCTGCCATGCCATCCCAGCCATGCCTTATATTACTTTTTAAAATTGAAAATGGGATCTAACAGACTTAAATAACTTATGGCTGCTCTTTCTTTTCTACAGATTGATCCTGAGTTAGAAAAAAAACTGAAAATGAATAAAGTGTCATTGGAGTCCGAGTATGAGGTACAGTATGCTAATGTAGCAATCTTCCTAGTCAGTGACTGGTTCTATCTGCTTTAAGGTAAATTCAAATTATTATCAGTACAGGAAAAAAATATTTACCTTAAATATATGTTATTGGAACAACTATGTAGTCGTTTGAAAAGAAAATAAAGATGGATCTATATTTCATATACTGTTTCATATCCATATTCTAGATGGATCAAGAATTTAAAAATAAGAAACAAAAGGTAAAAGTACTAGGAGTAAACAATGAAGATTCTTTTTAGTGGTCTTGAGTCAGAAAACCCTATTTAAATATAGAAAACCCAGAAGCTTTAAAAGTAAAGATTGCAGAATTCATACATAAAAATTCAAAAGTTCAAAAGTTCAACCTAAAAAAAATAGTGTATATAAAGTTACTAGTTAAATGTGAAATTCTAAAAATATTTTTTATCTTAACACGATGAATTAATTTATTTAAATATGAAGAGCAAATCAGTATGGAAAATTTCAACAACTCACTTGATCAGTAGGAACATGGGCAGAGCATGTAATGAGTTCAGAGACAAGGAAATAAATATCATTTTTAAACAGATAAAGAGATGCTCAACTTATAATAGGAATGTTAATTAAAATTATAGCGAGGTATCATTTTCCACCTATCTTATTAACGAAATCAAAGAGCTTAATAGCATGTTTTATTATAGGATGTGGAGAGAGAGGGTGTTCTCCATCTCTGATCATATTTTCCCATTTCTTTTCATGTTTGGTCATTTTTGATTGAAAGGTGGACATTGTGAACAATATACATTGAAGAGACGTGTGTAGAGTGTTGATTCTCATTTTAGCATTTCAATCATTGGCTGATCATTTTGAGCTTGATTTTATGCTTCATAAGGGAGGATCTGTAGAAAGGTTTTGATGTTTCCTAAACCCCTCAAACTGTGGCATTCAGTCTCCAAATTGTTCACCCAGAGGATCTCGTCAGAGCTTAAGACTAGACCACTTTTTTGTTGTTGTTGTTTGTTTTTGTTTTATTGTTGTTGTTTTTTAGTTTAGTTTGGGACTGGACCACTTTTGCATGAAGTTGTTCTGCCAACCTTGCATCCCATTTAAGAATTATTCTCAAATTCTCTTGAGCATATAGGTCTTACGTTATCTGAGTGAAGGCCATTATTCTTTCTTAAAACCTTTTTATAACTTTGTATCATTTCATAACTATACGTGAAAATAATTTACTCTGTTCTTGACACTAAATTAGTAGAATTTTGTTCATCTATGTAGATTTAGTAAACTCCTGGTAAAACTGTAAGTGAAATTTAGAGAATGGTTCATTTACTATTTCCCCATTATCTTGTCAAAACCTCTAATTTGCTACTTCTCAGTATATATCTATGGAGGGTTTGTCTGGGAGTGGACGTTCCTTAAAGTTCTTTTAGAAGCCGTAGAGTTTGAGAGCTGAAGAAATTATATAGACCATTTGGTCTAGCCTTTTCATTATTACTCTTGAGAGAATTAGTGCCCAGATAGCTCAAATCACTAGCCCAGGGTTATATAGCTTGTTAGTAAAACAGTAGTGCTTAGTATCCAAGTGTCAAGGTAAATTGATATCATTTTCCCTGTCTCTGAATAAAAGCTGTCCTGTGTTCTCTGTGTTTCTTTTTCTATCTTGTGCACTTAATTATTCCAGAATAACCAAAGCAGATATATGAAAGTTATTGTCAGAGTGGTGTCAGAAGGGTAAAGAAAGGTTTATGTTCTTCCTTTTTTTCCTATTTTCATTCCTGTGCTTGAGAGACACTTCACACTAACTAAAGATATGGTGATCCAAACTGTGGTTGAAGCTAGTTTTTATTGCCCCACAAGAGCTTTGCTTATGGCAGCTATGGGGAATATCTTTTCATTCTTAAGCCCAGGCTCATTTCTTAGGTGCAGAACAAATCATCTTGGTCTCTATTCCTTCTAGCAGACTCTAGATTCTCCACTTTTGTTCTCTTCATTTACTGCCATCACCCATGTTAACCCATGCTAGTCATTATTATGCTGGATTAGCGTTCGGACCTGGAGTTTTGTTTTCCCAGCTTCTTCCCTTTCTTTGTGCTCTCAAAAATAAAACATGTACATTATTCAAGAAACGCAAGTTAAAACTACAATGAGGTACCACCTCACAGAGGTCAGAATGGCCATCATTAAAAAAATCTACAAGTAACAAATGCTGAAGAGGGTTTAGGGAAAAGATAACCCTTGTACACTGTTGGTGGGAATGTAAATTGGTGTAGCCACTATGGAAGACAGTATGGAGGTTCCACAAAAAACTAAAAATAGAGTTGCCATATGATCCAGCAATCCTGAGCATATATCTGGAGAAAACTATAATTCTAAAAGATACATGCACCCCTATGTCATAGCAGCAGTATTCACAATAGCCAAGACATGGAAACAACCTAAATGTCCATCAACAGATGAATAGATAAAGAAGATGTGGTGCATATTAATATATACAATGGAATACTACTCAGTCATGAAAAAGAATGAAATAATGCCATTTGCAGCAACATGGATGGACCTAGAGATTATCATACTAAGTGAAGTAAATCAGAAAGAGGAAGACAAATACCATATGATATCACTTATTATGGTATCTAAAATATGATGCAAATGAACACATCTACAAAACAGAAACAGACTCACAGACATAGAGAACAGACTTGTGGCTGCCAAGGGGGAGCATGGGGGAGGGATGGATTGGGAGTTTTTGATTAGCAGATGCAAACTATTATATATAGAATGGATAAACAACCAGGTCCTACTGTATAGCACAGGGAGCTATAGTATTTTGTGATAAATCATAATGGAAAAGAATATGAAAAAGAATGTATGTGTGTGTATATACATATATATGTATAACCGAATCACTTTGCTGTATAGCAGAAATTAACACAACATTGTAAATAAGCTATGATTTAATAAAATAAATTTTTAAAAAATATAGAGTTTTTCTGTTTTAATAGTTTAATTCTGATGAGGGGAAAGATAGGCAGTAACATCAATAGGAAGTAAGAAAAATTTTAAGTCCTAAGAAATATGACATTTCTTTAATTATTAAGCTTGATATGCAGTTATTTATTAGAATTATAAGTGAGGGCCTATTGAATTCTTTCTACTCATTTATTCATTAATTCACTGAGGTCCTAATCGAACCCACAGGGCTCCTATACTAATATTTATCCTCTAATATTTGTGGCTCTATAGAAAATAAAAGACTCCACTTTTGATGACTGGAAGAATATTCGAGGACCGAGGCCTTGGGAAGATCCTGACCTCCTCCAAGGACAAAATCCAGAAATCCGTAACACTAAGACAACTTGACTATGCTGATTCTTTTTTTTTTTTTAAATAAAAATGTTATCAACTGGAATTCCCACCACATACTCCTGTACATTGGAAAGAAAATTACAGACCTGCAGAAGCCTGGATGGGAGTAATTTGATGATAAGTACTCTTGATAAAAAGTTAAGTACAGGTTTCTATACTTCCCAACTCTTTTATTTGCAAATGAAAGTAACAATGTTGACCACATATATTTTTTACTGCTCAATAAAAATGTGAATACTGCCACTTAAACAGTGTCATTTATTCTACTCCCAGGTACCCACCCATATTTCTTTTCCCCTAGCCAGTAGGGCAATCTGATTCCTAATGAGAATAATAGGTCTGGATCCAAATTTTCACAGTAACATCAAGCAGGATTTTATGTCAGACCTATGTGGAAAATAATGTTGATCAGTCTGGTAAGAGCCTTGGTTTTATTTGTAATACCTCACATGTCAGGCTAATCAGTCTCCAAAGCATCACCTGATGATGGTGTTGATACCATTAAAATGCGTTAAGATAGTTTTATTGCTCCAAGTTAAAGCAAAAATCATGAGGTCATAACTTCCATCCTAATATACAAAAAAAAAAAGAAAAAGAAAAATGCTGAAAAACTGAAAACAGTATGCTTTGATCCATGAGAGAACTGAGGTACAGGACAAAACCATCACCCTGAAAACTTGAGACACAGAGAAATATAAAGAATCACAGTTTACCTGGAGGAGAAAACACCTGGAAACCACTTCTGGGCCCAGCATCAGATAGGAATACCTAAAGGGTAATTCACTAATTATTAGAGACTGAGCATGGACTAACCTGAGAGATAAAAACTCCTGGAGACCAGGCCAGGGACACACTTTTACTTCCTGGAACCCCACCAAGTTCTCACAGTGAATGTCAGAGAAAAATCTTGTTCTTCTAACAAGGGGAGGGGAAGGTAACCATTTTGAAATGTGCCCTCCGAATTCTGTACTTAACAAAAGCCTGGTCTCAAAGGAAACTATTTTGTTAGAGCTTAATTATACTGGGTTTTACCAGAGCCTAACCAACTGGCGTAAGGGAAATACCCAACTCTGCCTCCCTCTAGCCTTTCTGTCTCACCTAAATGGAGGAAGAGGGGTGGGGAGTAAGACTGAGAAGCAGTTGTGCAGGTCACATACCAGGATCCCATGATCACTAAAAGACTAAGATCTAATCAAAAGAGTATAGAAGGTTCCCCTCACTTTCCACATTACTGCCACATCGCCAAAGACCCACTCACTGGAGTTTCTTTTACGCAGTCCAAATGGTTATCATGTCCAACTTTCCACAACAACAGAAACTATAAGGCATACTAAAAGGCAAAAAGCACAGTTTGAAAAGACAAACTAAGCAAGAGAATCAGATTCATAAATGGCAGGGATTGGAATCATCATACTGAGAATTTAAAATAAGTATGGTCAGTATGCTTAGAGCTCTCATGAAAAAAAGTACACAACATGCATGGACAGTTGGGTAATGTCAGCAGAGAGAAGGAAGTTCTAAGGAATCATAAGGATATCAATATAACAGAAATGAAGAATGATGTAGTCATCAGTAGAGTAGATATGGTTGAGGGAGGGAGAAAAAGGAGGGAGAAGGATACATATACCATGTTAACACTAATCAAAAGAAAGCTGAAGTAGCTATTTAATTCAGGCAAAGTAGGAAAATTAAAATTTAAAGCAAGGAAAATTATCAGGGATAAAGAGGGAGAATTACATAGTGATAAATGAGTCAGTTCTCTAAGAAGACAACAATCTTTAATGTGTTTGTACCTAATGACAGAGCAGCAAAATACATGAAGCAAAAACTGACAAAAAGGCAAAGACTAATAGATGAATCCACTATTACTGTTGGAGATTTCAACTGCCCTCTGTCAGAAATGGATATATCCAGCAGTCAGAAAATCAGTAAGAACATAGTTGAACTCAACAGTAGCATCAATCAACTGGTCTAATTGAAATCTCTAGAATACCTCATCCAACAACAACAGAATACACTCTTCTCAAACTCATAACATTTATCAAGACAATATTCTTGGTCATAAAACACACCTTAACAAATTTAAAAGAACAGAAATTATACAAAGTATACTCTCAAACCACAATGAAATTAAGTTAGAAATCAGTAACAGAAAGCTACTTGGAAATTCCCAAATACTTGGAGATGAATCAGTATACTTCTAAATAACACATGTCCAAGAAGTCTATAGAGAAACTTAAAATATTTTGAGCTAAATGAAGTTGAAAATACAACTTATCAAAGTTTGTTGGGTGCAGCAAAAGCAGTGCTTTGAGGGAAATTAGAAGCATTGAATACATGTATTAGGAAAAAACTCTAACATTATTAATCTAAGCTTCTAATTTAGGAAACAAGAAAAAAGCACCACTTAAATTCAAAGCAAGGAGAAGAAAATAAATAATAAATTAGAGCTGAAATCTGTAGAGAAAATCAACAAAACCAAAACCTGGTTCTTTAAAAAGATCAATACAATTGATAAACCTCTAGCCAGACTAAGAAAAAAAAGAGAGAAGACACAAATTACTAATACCAGAAATAAAAGAGGGGCCATCACTATTGACTCTGTAACAACATTAAAGGATAATAAAGGAATATTATGAACAAATTTATGCCCACAAATTTGATAACCTAGATAAAATGGATCAATTCCATTACCTTTCAATTACTTGAAATTTCATTCCTTGAAAGACACAATCTGCCAAAACTCACACAAGAAGAAATAGGTAATCTGAATAAGCCCATATCTTTTAAAGAAATTGAATCAATAATTAACCTCTCAAAACAGAAGGCACCAAACACAGATGAGTTCAGTGGTGAATTCTACCAAATATTTAAGAAAGAACTTATATCAGTTCTCTTCAACCTCTTCCAGGAAATACAAGCAGAGGAAATACTTCCTGACTCATTCTCTGAGGTCCGCATTATCATAATACCAAAAGCAAAGAAAGACATTGCAAGAAAGTAAAACCATAGACCAATATCACTCATGAAGATAGATGCAAAAAGCCTCAAGAAATTATTAGCAAGTCAAATCCAACAATGTATAAAAACAATTATACACCACGACCAAGTGGGATTTATCCCACGTATTCCTGGGGTGGTACAGAAGGCTGGTTTAACATTCAAAAATCAATTACTGTAATCCATCACATCAATGGGCTAAAGAAGAAAAATCATATGATCATATAAATACATGCAGAAAAAGCATTTGACAAACTCCAACACCAATTCATGATAAAAACTCTCAGCAAACTAAGAATGAAGGGGAGCTTCTTCAAACTGATAAAGAACATCTACAAAAAATCTACAGCTGACATTATATTTAATGGTGAAAAACTAGATGCTTTCTCAGTAAGATCAGGAACAATACACAATGTCCCCTCTCATCACTCCTATTTAACATCATATGGAAAGTTCTAGCTAATACAATAAGACAAGAAAATAAAATAAAAGGTGTGTAGATTAGAAAGGAAGAAATAAATGTCTTTGTTAACAGGTGACATGGAGAATATCTTGGATAATCAACAAAAACAACCTGGAACAAATAAGAAATTAAAACAAGGATGCAGAATACATGGTTAATATACAAAAGTCAATCACTTTCCTATATGCCAGCAATGAACAACTGGAATTTGAAATTAAAAGCACAGTTTCATTTATTAGCATAAAAAACCCCTTTGGTATAACTAACAAAACATGTATGAGATCTAAATGAAGAAAACTACAAACCCTCTGATGAAAGAGATCCAGGAAGATTTAAATAAATGGAGTGATATGCCATGTTCATGGTTAGGAGGACTCAATATTAAGATGCCAGTTCTTGGGACCTTCCTGGTGGTGCAGTGGTTAAGAATCCTCCTGCCAATGCAGGGGACATGGGTTCGATCCCTGGTCCGGGAAGATACCACATGCTGTGGAGCAACTAAGCTTATGCTCCACAACTACTGAGCCTGCACTCTAGAGCCCATGAGCCACAACTACTGAGCCCTCATGCCACAACTACTGAAGCCCATGTGCCTAGAGCCTGTACTTGGACGGACAAGAGAAGCCACTGCAATGAGAAGCACGCACACCACAACGAAGAGCAGCCCCCACTCACTGCAACTAGAGAAAGCCTGCGTGCAGCAATGAAGACCCAATGCAGCCAAAAAACAAACAAAAAAAACCCAGTTCTTCACAATCTGATATATAGGGTCAGTGTAATCCCATTCAAAATTCTAGTGAGTTATTTTGCGGATATAAACAAACTTATTCTAAAGTTTCATGGAAAGAATCATACATGATGAGAATGATTCATCAAATAGAGAACATTGATAAAGAATTAGAAATTACAAAATAGAAACAAATGGAAATTACAGAGTTGAAAAACTCAATGACCAAGATGAAAAATTCACTAGAGAGGCAAAACAGTAGTTTTGAGTATAGAAGAAAGATTTGAGTAACATGAAGACAAATTGATTATGAAATCTGAAACACAGAAAGAAAAAAGATAATCTAGATAAGATATAACAATTATAAAACATATATACAACTAATAACATAGCCCAGTAATACAGGAAGCCAAAAAGGCAACTTAGGAAAAGGCAACTCTACAATAATAGTTGGAGACTTCAATACCCTACTTTCAATAATGGATAGAACAGCTAAGCAGAAGGTCAAGTAAATAGAAGACTTGAAGAACACTGTAAGCCAGCTAAACTTGACAGACATCTATGGCTCGCTCTACCTGACAACAGCAGAATCCATATTCTCAAGTGTACCTGGAACATTCTCCAGGATAGACCTTATGCCTGGGCGTAAAACAAGCCTCAGTAAATTTAAAAGGATTTCAATCATACAACATCCTGGGAACTAAATTAGAAATCAACCATAAAGGAAATGGAAATTTGCAAGTATCTGAAACTTAAATGTAATTAAATGTCCAACTGGCCATTTGAGAAGAAGTCACAAGGGAAATGAGAAATACTTTGAGATGAATTACAATAAAGACACAACATACCAAAACTGTGGGATGCATCTAAACAGTACTTAGAAGGAAATGCATAGCTGTAAACACCCATATTACAAAAGAAAAAAAAAAGAGAGATCTCAAATTTAGTAACCTAACTTTCTACCTTAACATATTTGAAAAAGAAGAGCAACAAAACAAAAAAACTAAAAACAGAAGAAAGTAAATAATAAAGATTATAACAGAAGTAAATGAAAGAGAA